TTCAATTTGTGTGTGTGTGTGTGTTTAATTTTTTAATTTTAATCTTTTTTTAATTTTAATATTTTTTTTAATTTTAATTGTTCTCCCTCATTAATTCCTTTTCTCCCTTCAAAATGACAAAATGAAGGAATTCACCCCGAAAGAAAGAGCAGGAAGAAAGGACAGCCAGGGACTTAACCAACACAGATACAAGCAAGATGTCTGAACCAGAATATAGAATCACGATAATAAGAATACTAGCTGGAGTCGAAAATAGATTAGAATCCCTTTCTGTGGAGATAAAAGAAATAAAAGTTAATCAGAATGAAATAAAAAATGCTATAACTGAGCTGCAATCACGAATGGATGCCGCAGCGGCAAGGATGGATGAGGCAGAACAGAGAATCAGCGATATAGAGGACAAACTTATGGAGAATAATGAAGCAGAAAAAAAGAAGGAGATCAGGGCAAAAGAGCACGATTTAAGAATTAGAGAAATCAGTGACTCATTAAAAAGGAACAACATCAGAATCACAGGGGTCCCAGAAGAGGAAGAGAGAGAAATAGGGGTAGAAGGGTTATGTGAGCAAATCATAGCGGAAAACTTTCCTAACCTGGGGAAAGACACAGACATCAAAATCCAGGAAGCACAGAGGACCCCCATTAGATTCAACAAAAACCGACCATCAACAAGGCATATCATAGTCAAATTCACAAAATACTCAGGCAAGGAGAGACTCATGAAAGCAGCAAGGGAAAAAAAGTCCCTAACCTACAAGGGAAAACAGATCAGGTTTGCAGCAGACCTATCCACAGAAACTTGGCAGGTCAGAAAGGAGTGGCAGAATATATTCAATGTGCTGAATCAGAAAAATATGCAGCCAAGAATTCTTTATCCAGCAAGGCTGTCACTCAAAATAGAAGGAGAGATAAAAAGTTTCCCAGGCAAACAAAAATTAAAGGAGTTTGTGACCACTAAACCAGCCCTGCAAGAAATTTTAAGGGGGGCTCTCTGAGGGGAGAAAGATGAAAAAAAAAAAAAAAGACAAAAAGCAACAAAGACTAAAAAGGACCAGAGAACACCACCAGAAGCTCCAACTCTACAAGCATCATAATGGCAATAAATTCATAGCAAATTAACAAATTGATGATAAATTAACAAATTAACAAAATTGATAAACCACTAGCCAATCTGATCAAAAAGAAAAAGGAAACGACCCAAATAAATAAAATCAAGAATGAAAGAGAAGAGATCACAACCAACACAGAAAAAATAAAAACAATAATAAGAGAATATTATGAGCAATTATACGCCAATAAAATGGGCAATCTGGAAGAAATGGACAAATTCGGAGAAACATATACACAACCAAAACTGAAACAGGAAGCAATAGAAAATTTGAACAGACCCATAACCAGTAAGGAAATCGAATTAGTAATCAAAAATCTGCCAAAAACAAGAGTCCAGGGCCAGATGGCTTTCCAGGGGAATTTTACCAAACATTTAAGGAAGAGTTAACACCCATTCTCTTGAAGGTGTTCCAAAAAATAGAAATGGAAGGAAAACTTCCAAACTCTTTCTATGAAGCCAGCATTACCTTGATTCTAAAACCAGAGGCCCCACTAAAAAGGAGAACTATAGACCAATTTTCCTGATGAACATGGGTGCAAAATCCTCAACAAGATATTAGCCAACCGGATTCAACAACACATTAAAAAAGTTATTCACCACAACCAAGTGGGATTTATACCTGGGATGCAGGGCTGGATCAATATCCGCAAAACAATTAATGTGATTCATCACATCAATAAAAGAAAGGACAAGAACCATATGATCCTCTCAATAGATGCAGAGAAAGCATTTGACAAAATACAGCATCCTTTCTTCGTAAAAACCCTCAAGAAAATAGGGATAGAAGGAGCATACCTCGAGATCATGAAAGCCATATATGAATGACCAACGCTAATATCATCCTCAATGGGGAAAAATCGAGAGCTTTCCCCCTAAGGTCAGGAACAAGACAGGGATGTCCACTTGTGCCACTGTTATTCAACATAGTATTGGAAGTCTTAATCTCTGCAATCAGACAACACAAAGAAATTAAAGGCATCCAAATCGGCCAGGAGGAGGTCAAACTTCCACTCTTCGCAGATGACATGATACTCCATATGGAAAACCCTAAAGATTCCACCAAAAAACTGCTAGAATTGATTCATGAATTCAGCAAAGTTGCAGGATATAAAATCAATGCACAGAAATCAGTTGCATTCCTATACACCAACAATGAAGTGACTGAAAGAGAAATCAAGGAATCGATCCCATTTACAGTTGCACATAAAACCATAAAATACCTAGGAATAAATCTAACCAAAGAGGTGAAAAATCTATACGCTGAAAACTATAGAAAGCTTTTGAAAGAAATTGAAGAAGATGCAAAAAATGGAAAAAGATTCCATGCTCCTGGATAGGAAGAACAAATATTGTTAAAATGTCAATACTACCCAAAGCAATCTACCTATTCAATGCAACCCCTATCAAAATAACACCAGCATTCATCAAAGAGCTAGAACAAAAAATCCTAAAATTTGTATGGAACCAGAAAAGACCCCGAATAGCCAAAGCAATCTTGAAAAAGAAAACCAAAGCAGGAGGCATCACAATCCCAGACGTCAAGCTATACTACAAAGCCGTAATCATCAAGACAGTATGGTACTGGCACAAGAACAGACACTCAGATCAATGGAACAGAATAGAGAACCCAGAAATGGACCCACAAACGTATGACCAACTAATCTTTCACAAAGCAGGAAAGAATATGCAATGGAATAAAGACAGTCTCTTCAGCAAGTGGTGCTGGGAAAACTGGACAGCGACATGTAGAAGAATGAACCTGGACCACTTTTTTATACCACACACAAAAATAAACTCAAAATGGATGAAAGATCTCAATGTAAGATAGGAAGCCATCAAAATCCTAGAGGAGGAAGCAGGCAAAAACCTCTTTGATCTTGGCCGCAGCAACTTCTCACTCAACACGTCTCCGGAGGCAAGGGAAACAAAAGCAAAGATGAACTACTGGGACCTCATCAAAATAAAAAGCTTCTGCCCAGAGAAGGAAACAATCAGCAAAACTAGAAGGCAACTGACGGGATGGGATGGGAGAAGATATTTGCAAGTGACATATCAGATAAAGGGTTAGTATCCAAAATCTATAAAGAACTTATCAAACTCAACACCACAAAAACAAATAATCCAGTAAAGAAATGGGCAAAAGACATGAATAGACACTTCTCCAAAGAAGACATCCAGATGGCCAACTGACACATGAAAAAACGCTCAACATCACTCATCATCAGGGAAATACAAATCAAAACCGCAGTGAGATACCACCTCACACCTATCGGAAGGGCTAACATTAACAACTCAGGCAACAACAGATGCTGGCGAGGATGTGGAGAGAGAGGATCTCTTTTGCATTGTTGGTGGGAATGCAAGCTGGTGCAGCCACTCCGGACAACAGGATGGAGGTTCCTCAAAAAACTAAAAAGAGAACTACCCTACGACCCTGCAATGGCACTACTAGGAATTTATCCAAGGGATCCAGGTGTGCTGTTTTCAAGGGACACACGTACCTCAATGTTTATAGCAGCACTATCGACAATAGCCAAAGTATGGAAAGAGCCCAAATGTCCATCGATGGATGAATGGATAAAGAAAATGTGGTGTATATATGTACAGTGGAGTATTACTCAGCAATCAGAAAGAATGACACCTTGCCATTTGCAACTACGTGAATGGAACTGGAGGGCATTATGCTAAGTGAAATTAGTCAGAGAAAGACAAAAATCATATGACTTCACTCACATGAGGACTTTTTTTTTTTTAATTTTTTTTTTAACGTTTATTTATTTTTGAGACAGAGAGAGACAGAGCATGAACGGGGGAGGGTCAGAGAGAGGGAGACACAGAGTCTGAAACAGGCTCCAGGCCCTGAGCAGTCAGCACAGAGTCCGACGCGGGACTTGAACTCACATACCGCGAGATCGTGACCTGAGCCGAAGTCGGACGCTTGACCGACTGAGCCACCCAGGCGCCCCTCACATGAGGATTTTAAGAGACAAAACAGATGAACATAAGGGAAAGGAACCAAAAATAATATAAAACAGGGAGGGGGAAAAACATAAGAGACTTAAATATAGAGAATAAACTGAGGGTTACTGGAGGGGTTGTGGGAGGGGGAATGGGCTAAATGGGTCAGGGGCACTAAGGAATCTACTCCTGAAATCGTTGTTGCACTATATGCTAACTAATTTGGATGTAAGTTTTAAAAAAGAAAAAAGAAAATTAAAAAAAGAAAAAAATATATACAGGGGCACCTGGGTGGCTCACTTCTTTAAGCATCCGACTTCAACTCGAATTAGGATCTCGTGGGTTCAGGGGCCCCACGTCGGGCTCTGTGCTGACAGCTCAGAGCCCGGAGCCTGCTTGAGAGTCTGCGTCTCCCTCTCTGTCTCTGCCCGTCCCCTGTTCATGCTCTGTCTCTTTCTCTCTCAAAAATAAATAAACATTTTTTTAAAAGTATACAACTCTGTTCTCATAGCAAGAAAGGAGGCTTAGACAACACATAAACAACTAACGGGCGTAGCTGTGTTCCAATAAAACTTTATTCGCAAAATCAGTCAGCGGGCCGGCTCCAGCCTGCAGGCTGCAGTTTGCCGAATCCTATTCTAACAGAAGCCTTCAGCGCTTTAACACAGAGAAGGGAGTAGTGGGGTCACGTCAGTCAACAAGTCACTGTGGGGTGGGACGGGGGAGACACAGATTTCAAAAGCAGCGCGGGGGCGATTTTCCTGACGCTTCGGAGGGCATTCGCAGCACAGGGGTGCTTAGCACGCAGAAGGTACGCGGTAAATTGCAGCAGGTAGGGTCATTGTCACCTGTGTGAGCGTGTGTGTGTGTCTCTGGGTGATGGTAGCTGACCGGGTCCCCCACCGCTGACTCAGAATGTGTCTCTCCCCAGCTCCTCAGGCCTCCGGGAGGCTGAGCGTTTCGGAACACCCCCAGGGAGGGCCTCCAGCGTCACCCGGACTGGGAAGGAGGAGAGCAGTGGCGGCATTAAATACAAGGCTGGCCGGGTAAGACGCTGACGCCTTCACCCGGGGCTCCTGCAGCCTGGGGGAGGTCTTTTTGTCATCTGGACCCATGATGCCCCCTCCCAGCTCCTGTCTTGGCTTGTGGAGGGGGACCAATGGACCAGGTCACAGATGCAGACGGGAGAGAGGAAGACACCTTCAACCGACCTGCATGATGCTTTAAGCCCAGCCCCCACCCAAGGCTTAGAGTAGCATCTCAAAGCACAGGTCTCGCCCGCCTGCATCAGAATCACAGGCAGCTTCTGGGACCCACCTGGGCCTCCTAAATGTTTGTTTATTTGTTGAGAGAGAATGAGAGAGAGGGAAAGCAAGTGTGAGCAGGGGCAGAGAGAGAGAGAGACAGACAGACAGACAGACAGAGGATCCCAAGCAGGCTCTGTGAGCTCCGCTCAGAACCCGACGCGAGGCTCCAACTCAACCAACGGTGAGATCATGACTTGGGCTGAAATCAAGAGTCAGACGCTTAACCCACCGAGCCACCCAGGAGCCCCCACCCGGGCCTCCTAAAACCAAGGGCCTCTGGGGTAACGGGGATCCTTGGTTGCAGCCAAGCCGTCCAGAGGGTTCCATGCACCCCAAACTCTGAGAACCACCGACTTAGCTCTTGAACTCCAATGACCCGACCGATCGCAGCAGATTAGCCTCTGGTATATGGAAGCACGTGCAGTTTGGATCTGTTCACACAGACTCAGACTGACCCAGATTCCTAAACGGAAGTGTGTAGACACAGATGGCCCAAGTGGATAATCCAAAAATTCTTCCATTCATGCAGCAAACGTTTTTTGGATCCTAATTGTGTTTTAGGCACCACCCCGAGCATCAATGGGACTAAGCATGAGTAAATTCTCTCCCTTACTCTTACCGTGCTCTCGGTCCAAAACGTGCAGTCTAGAACGGGGTGAAAATGGGTTTGGTGGGAAGGGGCCAAAACCTCACTCTTTTTATGTATGAAGCACAGGTATGTATACGGGACATGAACAGAAGCACAGTGTATCCGTGGGGTGAACATTTGATGGGGGGGTGGGATTAGGAGAAAATATGAGAAAAGTCTCCGTTTTTAAAGGTGGCAACATGGAACAAAAGATCGAGAAACACTGGTCTGGCAGTCGAGGGAATAAGTAGTTTCAAAGCACCATCAGGAAGATTATAATAGAGATATGTTCAAAATAAGAGATAAATACACACTGAGGACCTGCCGTGTAGGGTTAATAATAGCCACCCTTTGCCAACACCTGGCTGTGTGCTTCACACATCCAATTTCTACTCTTTGTGACAACTCTGGGAGAAAGGAACTTCTATTCCCACCTTGAAGCTGGGAAAATTGAGGCTCAGAGAGGGCAGATGACTCATCCCAGGTCACACAGCCAGGAAGTGGCAAAGCAGGGATCCAAAGCCCAGTTTCTGAGTCTCCAAAACACGCACACCGTTTCTGACACACCAGGAAGTGCTAGAATATTTCTTCTCGACTTGGGAACGCAGTCAGACCTCACGCCCCTGCTCAGACACTCTCGCCTCTCTTGTTATACCCACTCTCCATGCTCCTCCTGCTGAGGAGGGAGGTAGGAGACTTTTGAGGACCATCAGACTATATTTGTCCTCACCCTGGGCAACCAATCAGTTCCTTCAGTTGGGAACGCAAAGCTCTCTCCGAGGGTCGACTCACAAAATCCTCTCGGGGGTCTCTGAGCAGCAGGAAGCACACAGAGAGGTTAGGCAAGTTGCTTGAGGTCACGAAGCAATGAGAATGGGGGGACCCCACGTTTTCCAGATCCCAAGGCACCCCGTTCCTTTTTTCCTCTGACCGTCATCTCTCTCTTCTCAGCTGCCGCTGGGGAAGATAGGAAGGGGCTTCAGCAGCAAAGACCCTGATTTTCATGATGACTATGGCTCTCTTCAAAATGAAGATTGTGGAGACGACGACCCCCAGGGCAGGCCAGAGCAGTGCCGGCTGGAAGGCTACAACGGCCTCGAGGTCACCAATGTGTAAGGGACTGTCGCCCCACCAGCCCCAACACGGACACACCCGCGGAGGAAGGGTAGCCAGATGCTGTCACCACTGCACATAGTGGCCGCGGGCCAGGGATGCGCCCCTCCAGGGCACAATCCCAGCAGACTGTCGCAGTTTCAGAGGGGCGCTGCGAGGAACGAGGGGACACCGGCCTGCCTGTCTTCAGCGGGTTGTGGACCTGTCCGCTCAGTGGGAGGACCTGTCGGCCCAGCCTCTCTCTAACCCAGGCCCCACCCAGAGTGACCGCCAGCCACTGAGCAGGCCGGTTGGTCCCCGCGGCCTTGAACTGAGCTGCCGCGGTTGGAAGGAGGCAGGCAGTTCCCCAAGAGCACCCTCCCAGAAAGCGCAGGTGCGGCTCCAGCCGGACACACGGCACCCAGCAAGGGCGGTGCCAGGGACGAGCACAGCCTGAGGCTGACCCGTCGGCACGGGGGCCCTTCCAGCCAGCCTGGCGGGGCTCCTGGCTCCAGCACCTGTGCCCCCCACAACTGAGCACCCGGGTTCTGACTCAGCTCGCTGAATCTCCCTTGGGAGACTGCAAAATGGGGCGGCCACTCCCTTCCACCCCAAAAGCCATGGGGCACATGGGGTGGGCGCGGAGAAGAGCCTTTTGCCTGCTCCCAGGCGCGGCTCCAGCGCCGGGAGGTTGCGGGCGGGGCTTAGCAGCAAGGGTTCCAGGAAATGCAGGTTTCCTGTCGTCAGGAGGGACATCCTGAGGACGGGATCCGGGCTGACTGACTCAGGCCGGCGACGACCAAGTTCGACAAAGGGGTTGGGATTGGGGGCAGGGAAATGCTTGTCACTATTAACCCAACAAACCTGTGTGGTGAGGTCTCAGTCACCTGGAACGGGGGTGTGTTCATCATGGAGATGATTGACGTGGTGGAGAGCCCCCCCCCCCCCGCCCTTTTCCTGACTCTGCCACTGTTTGGCTCTGTGGCTTCTTGCCGGTGGCCTCACCCCTCTGTGCCTCAACACCTGCATCCACAACACTTCCTGGTTCCCTCCCAGGGACATTGTGAGAATTAACACGTGCTAATGTCTGTAACCCACTTTGTAACCTCTCAGGAGACAGGTGGCAAGCAACCAGGCTAGAAGGGAGCTCTGAGTTCCTACTGACAGCACCGGACTGACCTTGAACTGGTTCTCCCCAACAGTGTTCCGGTTGGAACAACATGCACAAGGAGGAAAGGAATGCTTAATGTTCAGACTCTCTAGAGCCCCCAGTAGGGCTTGACCAAAAAGAGAGAGAGAGAGAAAAAAAAAAAAGTCCACAGACACAACCCTTGAAAACCAGTTGGATCTATGTGTTCAGGCTCGAGTCTGTTGACCTCAGCGCTGAGTGATGACTTGGGAGGGACGACATGCACTGGAGTTCCCCTGACACTTTGGTTGTCAAAGCGAATCCTTTGTTGGGACCACGATGCTCGACCGCCATTGGGGCCATTCGCACCAGAGTCAATGACAGGCCTGAACTCCCAAGACTTGAACAGGTGTCGGCCTCCAAGAACCGTCAAAGTACATGTTCCTCAGCCCAATGAACCAGTTCCCCCTGCGGGAAAAGCCTAAACCGAGGCCTGAGGAACTTGAGAGTGACCCTTCCTCCCCGATGCCGAAGACCATGGTTTTCTCTCTGATCTTAAGATAAGCACAGCTTTTCTTGCCCATGGAAACCAAACGCCCAGCTGGTGGGCGGGTGGATGGCCCTCCGTTCATCTGATGTTCAGCCTTCTAGGGTCTCATTTCTGATTCCGTGGCCTTCCGGGGGGGGGGGCGGGGGGGGGGAAGCTCTGGTATCTAAGGTGGCTTTGCTGAGGTTCCAAATTCCAGCCACATTCAGCCACACCTGGGGCCTGCAGCCCGGAGGGGGAAGTAAAACGTCTTCTAACCCAATGCCACAGGTCACTCCCAAGCCAGCCTCCAGGCTGGGTGACCCGGAACCCTGGGATCTGCCTCTTGGGAAGCAGCAGACCAGGCAGGAAATGACTCCCACAGGGTGAGCAAGGGTAGCACAAGGGGGCCTGATTATCTGAAGCCAACATTCACCTGAGTTGTCGGAAATGGAGCTTGCCTTTCCCACCCCCGCTCCACCCCACTGGGGGTAAGATGGGCAAGTGGACAGTATGGGGGGGGGGTCACCGGCAGGGATGGCATTGTCCCCAAAATGTGCAACATTGGGCCAGCAGGCCTGGGGCGATGCGGACAACCTCGAAAGCACCTTTCGGTCCAAATGATACCTTAATAGCACACTTTCTCCCACCTGACGCCCCGGTCCTTGGCAGCCAAGTGACCGTTTGGAATTGGCTTTTCGTGACTCAAGCGGGCAGGGTGGCTGCCTGCAGAACAGGGACCTGCCACATCCTGTGCAAAGGGCCTGAGTCGTGTGGTCGTGGAGGGTGATGTGGCTTCCGGACCTGTGAATATATGAATGTGCTTCTTGGAGTGGCATCATCTGTGTCCATGGGTGCTGGCCCCTTAGAGAGGGGTAGTTGGTGCCAGAGGCTAGGGAGAAGCAGAGTAGGCAGAGGCACCCCATATTTCTCCCAGAAGCGGGGACCAGGGCCACCAGGAGGCACCTGCCCGGGGAGCCTGGGTGGCTCCGTCAGTTATGTGTCCAGCTCTTGATTTTGGCTCAGGTCATGATCTTGTGGTCGTGGGATGGAGCCCTGCATGAGGCTCTGTCCTGACAGCTCGGAGCCTGCTTGGGCTTCTCTCTCTCCTTCTCTCCCTGCCCCTCCCCCTCGCTCTTGCACGCTCTCTCTCTCCCCCTCTTCTTCTCCGTCTCCCTCTCTCTCTCTCTCTCCTTTTTCTCTCTCTCAAAATAAACATTTAAAAAAAAAGTCACCTGCCCAGCAGACTCTCAGCTTTCTGACCCAGACACCTCTGGAAGGTCCCTTTGTCATTAGCTGGGCAGAGCTATTCTCCTAAAATCTGTCTGTCAGCACCTCAGTCACCCACCTGCCCCCTGGGCCCCAGGCTGCAGGGGGCAGGGAGGAGCCACATGACAACCTGGCCCAGAGGAAGAGGAAGGGGAAGGGCCTCTACGCAGCCCAGGCAGCACAGAGGGGGCCTCAGAACAGCGACCCCAAACCTTGAGGTCACTAAACAAGGCTGCACATGGCAGAGCGGGAAGATGTGGCAGGACACGTCCGCTGCGGGGCCACCCAGACCCTCCAGAGCTCCAAGCTGCGCCCACCCCCTTCCCATCGAAGCCCGTAGGCTCTGGCCCGTCCCGTCCACGCTGCTCTTCGAGGCTCCAACGGGCTCCTGGCGGGTGAGCGGCGAGGAAAGAAAGCCCGTGGGACACGGCGACTTCTGAAGCCCACGTTACTGGCGACAGTTGGCTGGTGAGAAGGTGTCCCAACACAGAGGGAGTTTGTTGGCCGCAAAGGGAAAAGTTGTCCACGAACAGAGATGACGCTCTTGGCCTTTTAGTTGCTGATCACGGCCCCAGCGTCTTCCCAAGAGTGAATTTTAACACTGTAACAATAAATACTACTGCACAGCGGCTCATTCATAGTAGCCTTTCTCTACGTGTGTTCTCCTTTAATTTTCCCAACAGCCTCTTTGGGAGAGATTACCCACCCATTTCAGAGATGGGGAAACTGAGGTGGGGGGCTGCTGAGGGGCTCACCCAGCTCCATAAAGCTAAGAAGTCCCAAGGCAGGGACTCAGACTCAGTCATCTGCCTCGCCACCCCAGGGTCCTCCACCCTCGTCCTGCACGCTTCCTGTCGCTGCAACGCTGGGGATCCCACCCCCACCCCCACCTCCCAGCACAGGACTTACCTCACCAGGGGGCGTCACTCGAAGTGGAGTTGAGAGGCTCTCTGTCCTGCTGGAAAAGTCTGGGGCCTGCGCTCCCCGTTTCCAGGAGGAGAACATCTGATCGGGGACCCTCCCTTAGCATCAGTAGCTTGCCCGCCTCACCCCTCCTGCGGTACTTCCATTTCCAGATTGCCCTCTGGTATCCGGTGGTGGCCTCAGTCAGCTCAGGCTGCTCACTGGGGGTCCTCAACAGCCGACGTTTATCTCTCCCAGTGCCACCTCGTCCTGCTCTTGGTGACGGCTCTCTTCCTGCTTTGCAGAAGCTTGCCCGTGGCCAGGGGGGTTGATTTCGGACAGTGGTAATGTGGTGCAGGGGTGGGGGCGCCCAGAGGACCTTTGAACCGAGACCTAAGTTCTGGGAAGGAGCCAGCCCCGCCAACACCTGGGGGAAGAACGTTCCAGGCAGGGCGAGAGGATAAGCTAGATGCTGAGGATATAATGGTCAATGGAGTCCTGCCCAGCCTCTGCCCTTGCAGACCTTCTAGTCCAGCGGGGAAAAGACACGCGAATCAAATACTCCTCAGGCAATGTATGAGCGTAACTAAGACCGGTGTTGAGAGCAGGGGAAGCTGGTAGGTGGAGGGGGTTATCACGTGGGTGTTTAGTGTGGTCAAGAGGCGGTGAGGCTTGGAGGGAGGCGAGTTCAGCACGTGAAGAGGAGAGGGAAAAGGATTCTAGGTTGCCGGGACGGCATGTGCAAAGGTCCCGTGGTAGGCGGGCCAGAGTAAATGAGGCTGGGATAAGGCCCACATGGCTGGGTGAAGGAAGCGAGGAGCTCGTCTCCTGAGAGTGCTGAAGGAAAATCGAGCAACAGCAGAACTTCCGCTGGGCTTCCGCCCACTCCCGGGGGACCCGCTCTGCCTCCTGCCCATTTACATCACCCTCACTGCCGGCAGCGCTTCCTAACTGGACGTGAAGTCTCCACCTTCTGTAACGGTGTCCCTTTCCCTCTGCTCTGACTCGTGGCTCAAGTGGACTCCCGGGGCCACAGACTGATACAATGGGCCCATGAGGTGGCACCGGGGGCCGTCAGGGCACAACAGAGGTGTCGGGTGGCTCTTTTGCGACCCCAGGGAGAAATCTGAGATGTCTGCTTTAAGCCATGCTGGTCTGCAAGAGTGGGGGGAAAACCTCGCAGGAAACGGTATCGGACCCGTGAGAAACGCCCAACCCCTCCTGATTCACCGGGGCCTGACAGAGCTCCTTCCCCGCGGTGCGTTTCCCATGGCTCAGCCCGCCCCGTCGTTGAGGGGAGGCACGAAAGGAAGGCCCTTCCCTGGTGGACAAGCCGAGGCCAGGGCAGGGCCAACGTAGGCCAGGTCTCCCTGAGGGTCCCTAAGCCTCACTGGGCCCTCCAGACGAGGGGGCCAAACTCCCATAATAACTAGCAGCTAAGATTTTGCTTGTGTGTTTGTTCTAGACGCTTCTGTACGCTAAGGGCTTTGCACAAGCATCTCCTCTAATCCTGACGCTTCCCTGAGAGGCGTGTACTATCACTGATTCTGTTGTACCGATGAGAAAACGGACACGGTGGGTAGAGAAGGCACATGAACCTGTCTGCAAACACCCCGTTCTGCCTGGCCCTGCCCTCCAGGGGCCTCCCCGATGGGGTCCCACTTTCCAGGAGGACTCCTCAGGGGAGCACGGGAGGATTCATCCATCTCAGGACCTAATTCCCTCGAGTAGCCTTGTTTGGTCCCTCCCCCAACCCTCCTGTGACCCAGAGGACGTCAACCGGGCCTCCACCGAAACTTTCCGCATTTCCGCTTCGCATTAAGTTTATTCGCGGGGGGGCCCTGGGACCTTGCTGTGTACCCCAATACGGCATCCAACACAGACTCTTTGTTTGTTAAACAAACGCAGTGATAGGAAACAAAACTCATGCAGGACACAATGGGGCCATGACATCTGATAGAGCGGCCACGGGCTACACGTGGCCGTTTAAACTATTAATTAATTAAAATTAATTAAATTTGTGCTTTTACATTATTTACATTATTTACATTAATTAAAATTGTATTTTTAAAAATTTTTTTAAATGTTTTTATTTCTTTTTGAGAGAGAGGCACAGGGTGCGAGTGGGGGAGGGGCAGAGAGAGAGGGAGACACAGAATCCGAAGCAGGTTCCAGGCTCCCAGCTGTCAGCACAGAGCCCCAGGCGAGGCTCGAACTCCTCAACCGGGAGATCATGGCCCGAGCCGAAGTCGGACGCTTAGCCGACGGAGCCACCCAGGCGCCCCAGTTAATTAAAATTAAAAAAAAAAAAAAATGTAACTTTCCATTTCTCAGTCACCCCAGCACATTTCAAGGTCTGCATCGCTACGTGGGGCTGGCGGCTACCATACGGGACGGATGCAGAACATTCCCATCAGTGCAGGAAGTTCAAGCTGCTGCAAGGTCCAGAGGGAATTTAGTTTACTAACACAAACACTACCTCGAGAAGCTTATGATTGGTGGGGAAACAAATAGAAGAAAATCTCCAGAGAAAACACCCCTGGTAGGGAAAAAAAAAAGGATTTTCGGGCAGGTGGGATTGCTGTCTCTCTCTCTCTCTCTCTCTCTCTCTCTCTCTCTCTCAAAAATAAATAAATGAACATGAAAAAACACACACACACACACACACACACACAAACGAAGTACAAAGGATGTCTTGGCTTCTGTAAAGAACAATCC